CTACTGGCATCCCATACTTCTATTTGACACCTCGTGATCGAACAGGAAAAGATGTATTGAACGACCCGAGAGCTTCACTCACATTTAGTGAGTATCCAATTGGAACTTGCAAGTATGATCCCATGAATCCTGTTTGTGCAAAAATGACACTATCAGGAAAGGTTTGTTTCCACATAATTTCCCACTCCACCATTTGTCCTCCAGTTTCCATTTCGTGAATTAACAGACATGTTAATTAGTGCATATAACATTTCTTTTTCATGATCTTTCTGTTATTTGGCTCTAGAAATTAAGGATGGATGCTTTGCACATTATTATTGTTCAAATCTATCATACAACTATTTTATTGTAATTTCCTCTTCCTTGATCATCTGACCCCTGATATTGACCTTAAGATGGCCCAGACATTGTGTCAATATGGAACTTAGCACACTAGACAAATTGAGACGTGTGTTGAAATAGGTTTCGTTGTCTCTTGAGTATGTCAAGTTATAATGTCTGAATTTTATCATCTTAATATATATCTTGAGGGTTGGATGGACTATTCCAAGAAAACTTACATGCAATAATTGCATACTATAATTAATAGGAATCTTATTTTGCAATTTGAATTGTAAAATAAAAATCATTGGATGGGAAGAAGAGCCCCTAATATCAGGGGTTCACCTACATTCAATGATTATATAAGTCAAATTATACTATACTTTTTTTGATAATTAATTAAACTTGTGGGGGTTTACCTGAATTGTTTTTCATCTTGTGTTGTTTTAGTTGGTGCTACTGGAGGGAAGCTCTGAAGCAGAATTTGCTAAAACTGCCTTGTTCACAAAGCATCCAGAGATGAAAAGTAAGGAATTAGTTGATCACCAAATTAATTTCTGAGTTATTTAGCTATTCTTCTTTTCCTTTTCTTCTGTTGACCGATCATTAACTACTCATCATTCATTAACAGTCTGGCCTGCGAATCACACTTTCCGTTTCTACAAGTTAGACCTCGAAGACATTTTCTTTGTCGACTTTGGAACTAAGCATCTCACAATCGATGAGTACCTAAACCCCAAGAATTGAGTATAACAACGTACAGCTAGCTGATTTATATCACATTCGCAAAACCAAGATAAATGTAGCTACAATCAAAAAAGTCTTTTGTATACTCACAATAATTCATCAAAATAAAAGAGTTCAATTTTCTAAT